ATGGGTAATAAAGTTGTGACCTGCAAATGGGTGTTCACCATAAAGCATAAGGAGGATGTTAGTGTTGAGAGATTGAAAGCTAGGCTGGTTGTAAGAGGATTCACTCAGTTTTATGGAATAGACTATCATAAAACTTTTGTTTATGTTGCAAAACTCAACATCATCATAGTTCTTTCCTTAGCAGCAAATTTAGATTGACCCCTTCATCAATTAGATGTCAAGAATGCATTCTTGAATGTGAACTTGAAAGAAGTCTACGTGGAGATTCCATCCAATGGGGATTCAGAAGTCTTATGGAAGGGACAAAATGTGTAAATTGTTGAAATTCTTATATAGATTAAAGCAGTCTCCTAGTGCATGATTTGGAAGATTCTGGATAATGCCAGACAGATCATACCTTGTTTGTAAAGCAGTCAGAAAGAAACAAGGCTAGTACTGATTGTATATGTGGATGACATCATCTTTACTGGAAATGATATAGAGGAAATAATGAAGATCAAACAGACTTTTTCAAATGAGTTTGAAGTTAAAGATCTAGGATCACTTAGACACTTCCTTGGTATGGAGGTAGCTCGATCAAGCAAAGGTATATTTATTTCCCAACGCAAGTATATCTTTGACCTACTGAAGGAGACCGACCTGCTGGGATGTAGACTAGCCAGTACACCTATGGATCCTAAGAAGAAACTTGGGATAGAAAAGGAGGGGGTTCCAATAGATAAAGGAATATATCAACGTCTTGTATGAAAGCTTATATTTCTCTCCCACACCCGTCCAGATATTGGGGGTTTGTTGTGATCATGGTGAGGCAATATATGAGTAATCCTATGATGGAACACATGGAGACAGGATATCAAATCTTGAGATATCTCAAGAACACTCCTGTAAAGGAGTTATTATTCAAGAAAAATGAAGATAGGAAATTGATCCTTTATTCTGATGCAGATTGGACAGGAAGGCAGGTTGACAATCAATCGACCATGGGATATTGTTCATTTGTGTGGGGAACCTAGTGATGTGGAGGAGCAAGAAATAATCTGTTGTTTCCAGAAGCAGTGCGAAATCTGGATTGAGAACATTAGCCGTTATAATTTGTGAAGGTATTTGGATTAGACAAGTATTGATTCAATTTGTAATAAAGATTGAATGCACGATAAAGTTGAAATGTGACAATCAAGCCGCAATCAGTATGACCAAGGATCCAGTACATCACGGTAGAACAAAACATGGTACTATTGATAGCCACTTTATATCTGAGAAAATATAGAACTCAAAAATTAAAGTAGTATATATCCCAACTCATGAACAGCTTGCCGATGTTCTAACAAAGGAACTACCAGTCTCTCTACTTGATAAGTTTATTTGGAAGTTAGGATTGTATGACCTGGGCAACCCAACTTGAGGGGGAGTATTGAATCACACAACGAGGGTCCCACGGCTTCTGATTCGTCAACAATCCGTGGGCTGCTACTGTAGGCTGCAGTTGGAGATTCTCTGATGACACCAATGTCTGTGGGATTGATTCCAAGATCCGTGGGATATAATTATTAGAATCAATAAGATTAAATGACTTTCCTCTTCTGTTTAATATAATTAATTAGATTAAATGTCTCTCTTTTTCTGTTTATTCTTCTTAAGTGTATATATATAATGATTTCAAGGAATAAAATTTGAATTTAATTTCCCTAAATAATTTCTTTAGAAAATACACAGATTGCAATCTGACTGGAATTATGGTTTATTACTATAGTAAATCATTATTATTGAGGATATTCTTCTTCTTTTATCTCTTTATATTTGCAAACATGCAGGAACCTGGATTAGTCAATGAGCTAAAACAAAAATATTTAGGACAATGATCATCATGATTATAAAGGCTTACCTAGAGCGTTAATCTGAGAAGGTTGATTATATGCAATCTTATCCTTGCATTTACAACGTTTCTTTCTATTACACAAACTTATTACCTCCATATCATCTGGAATTAACCACTGCTCCCGGCTCACGCTGGCTATTGATTATTATGATGATGTTGACATATTGCTTTGTCGTTACAACTTATGTGTTGCTTAACTGGATACACGGGAGTTCAGGCACTGTTGATTTGTGTCTAAAATTTGTCTGCATATGAATTTCTCTGTATTATCGGAGTAAAACAGAGCCGCAACTTGCTTAAAAGAAGTGAATGAAAAGGAGTTCAGACACCTCAAGCAAAAGGTGCTCAAGGGAGCTACTATAAGACAGCTCAGCGCTAATCTTCAGGCCTACCTGTAGATCTCTTTAACAATGATGTCCTTGAGTAGCATCTGAAATTTATAAAAAAATCTAGTCGACCGAGCTGCCCTTGAGATCTGCACAATGGCATTCTTGAAACGTGGATTTGATCTCATGTGGATTCTATTGGAAAATTGATAAACGTTTCAGCTATAATGTTCGCTACAATTCCCACTTTGAATTGTTTTGTGATGTGAAACAATCAAGAATTGCACGTGAAATTTATAAAGAATCACAAAGTGTGCCAATTTTAAGATTAAGGTATCGTGAGGTGAGGTTCAAGAGTTTTCAATTGTCAAAGTTATTATGATAAGCAATTACAATCTTGATGTTTGGACAAAATTGGCGATAGATCTTGAAATTCTCACAATAAGACAAATGCGGAGTAAAATATAATCCCACGACTAATGTTTAGAAAATTCACAATGAGTTACCTTGCTCACTCACACTCAAGTAAGGCTTAGCGGAAGGTCTTTAGCATACCCAACGATGCCACGAGGACGGTAGCAACCCCAACGGCCTTTAGCCACGGAAAGGTTGACGGTGGCGAGGATGGCGGGAATGGTTGACTGTCGAGGCTTCAATCATAGTTGGAAGTTGGCGGTCGATGACGCTCGCAAGAGTAGGTACAACTCGGTCCAAATAATCTCCAACGATGGCGTTGTCTTCAAATCCCACGTCGAAGAGCGGAGATCGTAGGATGTTGAGACTTCCGTCGGCGTCGAACACAAGTCCCCACTCAAATTCAGGGTCCGCCATGCATGCTTGACATTGGAGAGAACTCCAATGAGAAGAGAGGAAATATGTGGTGGTGAGAGAGAGCACTTGTAGATTGAGAAGAAGAAAGGGGAAGAAGAGAGGGGCGGCGGGATTTCCAAGGGGAAGGGGGCTAGGGTTAGGGGAAATTAGGTTTAGTGGAATGTTTAGGGATTTAACCAAATTTGAATTTTAATCTCAGATTTGATTAATTATGAGGGAATTGATTTGAATTTTAAAATTTCAAATCATAGGTATTAATGCCTTGAATGGGGGTTTAATGGGAGGAGCCAAGGGAGGGGGGCAGCTGTTTCTAGAGAGAGGGGAGGGGTTTTGAAAAATTTGGAGGGAGAAGTATTTGAAATTAAGTTTTAATTTCAAATGGGGGAGGGGCTTAATGGAGCAATCAATGAGGGGAGAGCCTCATAGGGCCGGCGGCATATAGAGGGGAAGAGGGAGAGATTAATGGGAAGAGAGGGGAGAGGGTTTCCAATTTGGAGTGATGATGTGGAAATAGAATTTAAAGACTCCGATTTAAGTTAATTTGAAATTGGAATTTATCATGGAAACTTTCCTAAATTGGAATTCCAAATTAGGAAAGAATTTGAAATTTGAAATTCAAATTTCAAATTTGGAAACTTGCGGAGAGATGGGTTGGACGGGTATGGGGAGGTCGCCGGAAAGGTGGCCGGCCGGTGCCGTGGGAGTGGCTGGCGGCTGGCTTCCAAGGAGGCGGCGGCAAAGGCTAGGCTCGTTTTCAACCCAAGGATTTTGAATGGCTTTTCTTGTGGTGGAGGGGAAGTGGTTGGAGGAAAACACAAACGAGAAGATAGAATAACTTAACCACGAGCCGCAGACTCTTCCAACGACTGGTGGACCTTGCGATTTGCTCCCCTTGAGCTCTCTCCCTTGTCTAGCTCTCATGCAAGAAGTATAAACAAAACACAATTTTCATTCAAATATTCATTAACCTCATTACAATAGAAATGACCTATATATAGGTCCCAACATGAAAGAAAATACAAAGACTAAATTGCCCTCAGGGCTACAACATGACTCAACTCAAACTAGGGGTATAATAGGAAGACTCCAAGAAATAAAATGCATAAACATCTAGAAATATAAACTCTGAATCGTGGCCGTCGATCTGCGCTGTCTCCGGCGATACACATGCTTGAACCTCTGATCGATGTCCTCATCATTTTGTTTCCCTAGTAAATGTTTCTGAGTGTATTTTATTACTTCATGCTTCAAAGCAGTGTGTTAATGTAGGCTTGATTTTATTACTGCCTTTTGATTTTCTTGAAAAGCTCAAATAGCTCATAAATAGCTATCTTGAAGCGAAGCCAATACATTGTCCATGCTCAAATGTTGCCTTAAGTGTTTACACATGCATTTTATGCCCGTGGAACTAACGCTTGTTTCGCACCTTTTTTTTTTTCCGAACTGGGTAGTTAAAGCCCTAATTGGTTATTCATGAATGTCCCTTTCTGTAGTTAAGATGTCAGTGATGTGCAAGTTTATTTGCTCAAAGGCTCAAAACAGCTGAGTTATTTTGTTATCCATCTGTAACTGTGTCACCATCACCATCTTGTTCCAAACATCATGGCATTCCTGAAAATTTCAATTTCCATAAATTTGAAGTTATGCATCCAATGGATTTAATCTGAAAAACGTTTCTTACTCTCCTTGTGCAAATTTTTTTTTTTTTTTTTTTTTGAAGAACTCGAGTTTATGCATATGGTGGAATGATGCCAATAAACAAAGAAGATACCAAATTGTTTGTATCCGTAGATTAACTAGGCAAATGATCTTCATCTCTATTTCGTTGCTGTTATGAAGGTCATGCATGGAACCGTTTATTATCCTGCAATTGCAAAGGTGCAATGTGGTGTTAGTTATGCTTTTGCTGTGAGTTGTGTTGTGCTTGAAATTGTGAAAATGGATATTTGATTTATGGTGTTTTTCAGGGTGGAAAGTTCAGAAGGTACCATTATTAATAGGGAGCCAGACGCATTACAGATACATGATAGCCAGTCAGCACAAGATTCATCATCTTCTTATTTTGGAATGCCTGAGCAGAAGCTAGATACAGGCAGTGCTTCTCAGGTGAACGGTGTAGTCACCAACTCTACTGCTGTGGGTACATTGAAGGCTGCTACCATTGGACGGAAAGGTCTTTCAATACAAGACAAGGTACCCTATGTCTCAAGATAAAGGCTCTATTGGCCAAATGTTCACCAAATGGTTGTGCATTGCATTTCTTGATTGATAGCTTTCTTTCAATTCTATCTTCGTAGCTATGGTCGATCTGTGCTGCTGGTAATACGGTACCCATACCTTTCCTCAAGGCAATTGACATTTCCCCACTAGCTTTGGTATCTGACAACATCGCCGAGGACAGAGTCTCAGCAGCAAGTGGCAATACTGCCTTAGAAGCAGTAAAAGAGCTTTTTAGCGGTGATGGACAGATGAAGAAAGGAAGAAGAGGACCAAATGAGGTTTAGCAACTCTGTGGTTCCTTCCTACACATTCTATTTTTCTTTATGTATTGAAATTCCAGTTAACTCATCTTTTGATTCTTTGTCAGGTGTTACTTCCTCCTGGGGTGTATCAAAGGTTGACCACAAGTCCAACATTGATGAATTTAGCCCAAGCTTTAGCATACCACAAAACGTAAGTACGACAAATCATATGTAGATTTCTTTAATTCTGATAGCTGAAGCTCTTTTAACTTGTGCAGATGCTACGAAGACATGCCTCTTCAAGAGCTTCAAGCAGCACAAGAGCAACAGGCAATTCAAAACCTTTGTGATACCCTCAGAACCATTTTACGGTTATAGGTATTTCTTTATTAAGCATAGGAATCAGAGAGCTTGGACAAAGAGCGAGCAAGGCGAGAGGCATCCGTGTAAGCCTCTCTGGTTCTTTCTTGCCTGTGCTTTTTAGGGGATTTATGGTATCTACGGGGAACTGCTGAGTTCTTTCTAATGCCATGTTCCTTCCAGATGGTTTTTATTATATTTATTTATTTATTGTACAATAATCTATAATAGCTTGATCAAGATCTACTTTGTACGAGTATTTCCAATTCTTTTGTTCCTACAATTTTATGTACTTGTAGTCTTCTTTCCTCGGTCCCCTGTTTTTATCAGAATTTCCTTTTAGTTACACAAGTCCTGGACTGGAGTAAGAATTACAATGAAGCAAGTTGCTGATGATAATATATTAAAGACGCAGAAGTAGATGTGAAGATGAAATACTACACATGGCCAAGTCGCCAAGCTTTATGATGACTAGAACAATTCGTTGCCTGCACAAATGATGTGGATTACATATGTTCTCTTAATCACAAATTATTTATGATTTGAAAGCAATGTTTAATAGGCCACTGGTGCCACATCCAATGTCGATAACTTTTCATGCTGGTGCTTAGTGCTATGTCCATTCTCGATTTGAATTTTTTATTTGTTGGATATAAATTGATAGTTTTTATTACAAGTAATTTCTTTTGTCGTTTCATTTAATAGGTACTAGTGAAATAATATTTGATTAATCAAAATATTAATATTTATTTTGAATAAATTATTAAATTGTATATTATGTTAGTTGTACCTATATCAAAATGTATGGTTATTTTATTTCACTTTAAATGTTTAGGTATTAGTTTTATTAAAAAAGTTATTATATAATTTATAGTGCTGTAAATTTTAGATTTTTTTAATGTAATCATTATGAATAAAATTATTATAATTCTGTAAATGAATTTGCATGAAACTTTATTAAATTTGTGGAACGTGTAGGGCATATGTAATCAGGCAAAATAATAGCAAAGTGACCTTGTAATGTAAGCATAGAGAGTTCAAACTATGCGTGGTTGGGTATGCCTTACATTTCTGAATCGCTTTAGAAAAAAACCAAGTAGAGAAGCGTATTTAGAACTGATAATGTGTGTTAGGTGTGCCGAGTCTTTTTTATTGCAGGAGATGCCCAATTGCTTTAGTAGTCATTTTCTTGTAATAAACTAACTAAAGAAGCATATTTAGGACAAAGAATCCAATTCATTATGGCAGGAGATGCCAAATTGGTTTAGTGATCCTTCCCTTGTAATAAATCAAGTAAAGAAGCATATTTAGGACAAATAATGTGTTGGTAGGCGAGCAAGTATTTCATCACCGTAGAATATGCCCAATTGCTTTAGCGGGGGTTAATTATTAAGAGAAATAATGTCACTATAGCTAAGTGAGCTATATCTTTTATTCCTCCACGAGATGCCCAATTGCTTAAGTGGTCCATCCCTTGTTATAAACTAGCTAAAGAAGCATATTTTGAACAAACAATGTGTGTGTGGGCAAGCCATGTCTTTCATTACCGCAGGAGATGCCCGATTGCTTTAAGTATGATGAGACATGTTTAGTCCTACAAATATCATTTTTCTTTCGGGGAAAAACTTATCAATAATTTACTGCTGCTTTTAAATAGAGAAGCAACAACAACATATTTTTGCATTTAACAATACGATGCAATGAGTTATATGTTAAGTAATAAAGTCCCTCTGCTTCTTATCTCATTCCTATTTGTCCTCATCGATGTTGTTGCTGCTAATGTGAACCTTGTTGGAGGTGTGAACCACTCCATTAATGGCTTCATTTAGGAGTTGTACAAGGAACATGTTGGGCTTGAAAGGAGTCTGGTCATGTCAATGTGCAAAGACAATGCCCACTTGACTTAGTGTGGCTTGAAACCTTACCAATTAGTTGCTAGCTCGATGATGTCTGGGCAACCATACAATCATGGTTGTAAGAAGATATGTCACTGCAAAACTAGAGCCTGAAATCCATTTTCTACGCATTTTAACATCTTTTTACTTTCTGTCAAATCACTGCCTCATTGAATTCATCACACGCAGCAATGGATTCACCCTTTGTCTTTCTTTTTTTTTGCTTTTGTTAAAATTGATTGATACTGCCTTTTTAATTACTTCAATCTTGCCTACTTGAATCGAAGAGCCTTTATCTAAACTTGTATGTTTGGGATTACTTGAATATTGAATAGTGAGTAGATATTATTATATACATACATCATAGAACTATTTATTTCTTCTCTTTAAAAATGGGGCTCTAACAAGACAATGAAGCAAGTTTACTATGCTTCAACATAATTTGCACTTATTGACTAAGAAATTTTAGATTCTACATTGTATTAGATACAATGAGTGAACGCGGTGAGTACCTGCTACAAAGCCTTCTGATATTGCACGGGTTTACATATAAGTTATTCAAGGAGCGTCTTATTAGATAATTTGAATTGAATGATAATGTCATGTGTTCCTTAAGATGGCAAGTTTTTAAACTCATTGTAGTCCTAATAATTTGTGTGTGTTTCACATATAGAAATGGAAATTTGACAAAGGTGAGGACAATTTGAAATATTTTAAAAGTTGGGAGAAAACTAGCATGTGGATAGGATAAGGGTATTTTGTTGACAGTTGCAGCAAAAAAATAGAGTTGGAAGAATGCATAAAACCTTTACTTGTATTGAGTTGGAAGATATAACATAAGACAAAAAATTGTTTGGTAGGTGATTCATGCCTAGAATAAAGATTTAGCACACTTCAAATTCTTTTAGTGCTCTACTTATATAAAGTAACTCTATCATTGCTAATCTAGCGTTGGAGCCTTATTAAAGCCAAAATATAGCTTTGAGTCTAATGCCAAAGTGTTGTTTATTATAGTTACTACATTTTTATTTCTATAGGCACAAAAGAGAAAGCCCTACAAGTGGAAGCTGAGAAAGGCATATAATCTAACTAGAGTAAAATTCAGCCGCAAAGAGTTTGAGAAGATGCCCTGTTAAATTCAAAGAGTTTAACATATGTTGTATGGTGAAAATCAAAGGCGTCCAGAACCTAGAGATCACTTTTTCAACTTGAATTAGTAAAATTGAAATATGAGACGGAGCATGATAAATGGTTGGTGGATGATATGAAGAATAGAAACAAATGGTTCAAATCAAATTGCTTATTCATCCAAACCTTTCTACAAGTTGAAAGGATGATGTCATATCCCTATCCCACAGTCAAGAAGCAAATTATTCCTAGGAGTTAAAAGTTGTTGGCATGATGCTTTCTTTACTAAATTGCCGATTTTTTTAGGAGCTTTGACACTTCTCTTACTGTTGTTTTCTCAAAATTATTGCTTGCTAGTAAGTTTTGTTCAAAAAAAATATGCAAGCCACTAATATGGCATCTACAAAGCTGCATTATCTCCAAATTTTCGAACCCACTTCTATTATGAATGGCACAATTATTAGATTTCCATGTGTTTAACTATCAATCAAAACTAATAAACACTTCTTGCAAACATTTCCTAATAATAATAATAATAAACTAATAATGACTCACAGGCAATGCCACCAACGAGTTCAAGTGGAATATAATGCTTGGAAGAAAAAAACATCATAATACAAATTAGTTAACTTAACCATTACATGATATCTATTACATGCTAGAAATTTGCAATGTTAGAGTTGGCGAGTAGTATCGTAGCATTGTATAAATCAAGCACAAACAGGAAAAATTGTAGGAGATTAGAATTTTTTTTTTTCCATGGAAATCCTACAAAGGGGAAAAGCCATGTTGCCTAACTTAAGTGCAATAATCCATTTTATGATTGAAGAAACAAAATCCTCTCTTTCTCACAATTGAAAAAGAAAGGATCATTTTAGAAACAATTTATTGATTTTTATTGTAGGGATTATAGAAATTTGATTTTTCCCAACAATAGAGTTAGATGTTGACAAAAGTGTAAAGATGGCTGCGACGATTGCTTGTTGGTCATTAGTGGTGATAGTCAGGAAATGTAATAGAGCTATTTAGTTTTCTGAATCATTGGTGCCTCTAGCATTCTGAATGAGGTATTGTGACGACATATTTTTTATAGAGATTTTTTAACTTTTTTTCTCTTTTTTTCGTCTCTTTTTTCTCTTTTTTTTTTAGAGTGATTTTTTTATAAAAGTTATTAATTGAAAATTTATGTTATATACAGAATTTATGCTAAAGGTTTCTTTCTTTTATAGATTTTAATAATAATTTATATAAGTAGTAAAAATTTAAGTATAAATTGGCTCCACTACACAATGGATAAGGGGTTGGTCTATATAACAAGAGATTTTGGGTTTGAAACCTAGCAAAGTCACTTTTTCTGTTCTTATAATGAAATTCAATTCTTTTCTTAGGAGAGGCCCTTCAATGTTTTGTTTAAGTGGTGTTTTCCCTTCTTAGGCTCCAATAAAATATTGCCATGAATAGACGTGTATTCTCCTTTCAAGCTCCAGTGCTCCATCATTCCTAACAAATTATTCTTCGGGATTGTGAGAAAATTTCATATCTCTGATTTTTGTTTTTTGTAGAATCTGATCTTACCTCTTAAAAGAGACTAGACACTATTTTTATATAGGCGGTGCATTCTCTTTCGTAAGTTCAAATGAAATATTATCTTCAATAGGCAGAGCGTGCCCATTTTTACCACTAGTGTTTTCTCAATCAGAAGCGTTGAGCCATCCTACAAGCAGAATGGTGAGTGATACCTAGAATTTTTATCTTGGAGATGGAGCTTTGATCTACATCTTGAAAGAGAGTTGATTGTCTTGCTTTTAAGAGATTTTTTATCCTTTCTTGAATCTCCAAAATTTTCTCCCAATAGGGAGCTAATCAATACAAAAAAATTTTGCAACCTGAATGTTGAAATAATGTTGGTGAAATTAATTCAATTCATAAAGTTCAATCTTAAACAGAAGAAAGTCCTAAGTGGACTTAGATGAGGAAGACACAAAGGAAGAAGAAGAAGTGCTACAGTAGTTCTTCATATTTCATTAAAACGGATGTATTACAGGGAATACATTATATAGAGAGAAGAAGGGAACATAATGATGTGTATCCCTGTGAGCCGTTAACAGCAGTCTGATGAAACAGAGAAGCAGTGGCTGTCTCCAGGAGTAACAGAGAAGGTGGAGCCGCGTATCACGTGACTGGGTTGACCAGTGGAGCATGTGTGCTATCATCCCCCCTCAAGTTGAGCGTCCGGTGGCCGGACGGTCAAGTTGGAGCGCAGAACGGTGAAACGAGCTGGAGGTAAGGCCTTGGTTAGAATGTCCGCTGGCTGTTCTGCATAGTTGACGTGATGAAGAGTAATGGCATTATGCTTAACGTGATCTCGGATAAAATGATAATCAAGCTCAATGTGCTTGGTCCGAGCATGGAACACGGGATTGTTGGCCAGAGCTAGAGCAGAGGTGTTGTCGCAGTGGATGGGCGTCGGTTGAAGTTGAGGCTCGTGGAACTCAGCTAGAAGACGCCTGAGCCAGATGACATCGGAAGTGGCAGAAGAGAGAGCACGATATTCAGCTTCTGTTGAGGATTTGGACACGGTAATTTGTTTCTTGGACTGCCAGGACAGGAGGTT